TATTTTTTACCTTATATCTTTTTGTAAAATGTTACTTCAACCCTTACTTTGTCATTGTTTTGTGGTATTGTTCTTTTTATAATGTTACTTTTTTATAAGATACACTTAACAGATGATACATTCAAACCAAAACTTGATTTTTCTTAAGTTTACAAGGGGTTATCCAAAATTTTGTCGACTTTCTTTGTTGCGTAAAATACGAGGGTTGATCAATATATTCATGGACGCTATTAATAACTTAATAATTAATCAAGATATTATAAAGAATTTTCGCTATTTAGGAGAAGAATTTAATACAATTACAAATATGCTGTGATGTTAAATTTTTTTTATCATTTTGTTGATTATATGTATCGCCATAGCAACCCTATGCCATACGAACGCCGTAGCTTAAAAAATTTATGTTTACCATTTTAAAATACTTAAAAATTGTCCTTATTTTGGTGCCCTTCTTTATTATACGAAAAAGGACGTCACATTCTTTCATAATGTTTAAAGAACATTTGAAAAAAACAAGCGTCGCTACAATTTCTTTTGTTTGTTGGAGATGTCAATGGAGACAGGGGTGTGTCACCAGAGAGGAGCACAACGTTGTTGGAGCAGAGGCAGTAATAAAGTTCTGTGTAAATCTTGGTATGACGCTACAAGAGACTAAAGAAAACATGGAAATTGCATCTGGAACAAAAACCGTGTCTCATTTGCTAGTTTATAAGTGGCACAAACGCTTCCTTGAGGGTAGAGGAAAACTTCAAGATTATAAGAGATGCGGCAGACCAACCGAAACTTGTTGATATGCGAACGTTTTGCAAGTGAAATTGAAGGCAGAGTTAAAGAGACACAAGTTTACCTGGCTCCATGATTTACAGTCAAGGGCATTGTCTGTGTTGCCTTCATTTGATTTTATAAGAGCATTTTCAGTCAGTGGGTACACAGGCATGAACAATGTGTAGAAGTTGGGGCTGCAGTTTTTTAGAAGATGTAACGCCAACATCAGGTAACGTAAGTTGCCAATCAGCTGCAGCGATCAGCTATACATGTATTTCTGAAAACTGTCATTTCGGATAAAATATACAAATTATTTATCTGAAACTTAGACATCAAATTGATAAATCAATGAATAAATGTCAAATATAATTATATTTACTTTCCTTCCCCGAAAAAATAATTTATGGAGTGTGTCCACAAATATATTGATCAACCTTCGTATATTTGAGATACTGATTTGAAATTCTTACACTGCCTAGAAGAATTTATATTAAATAAACATAGAAAGATACATGTAAGTAGCTTCTTATAATACAGATATATTCAATTTTACATAAACACATGTCGGCGACAGCGGCACACTCCAAAAAGTTATTGACGTCAATGTCATAATAGCTAAAACTTGTGCTTCAACGTTATTTAGTCAATGACCGCTTCTCAAAGTAATGTCTGTTTTCCCATGTATCATTAATTCTCTTATGCACTAATGATCGTGAAATTTTAATTTTCTCTGTTCGCCTTTTGATTTTTTTCAAATGTTTTTGTAGATGTCATTCCCAAATTACAATAAAATTTTATGACTGCGCGATTTTCTTATTTCTGTGTGTCCTTCATTTTTCCCGTTGTAATCAATATCTGTTTTTTCTAGCGACATCAACAAAAATTAACAGGAATGACGTCTACAATATTAGAAAAATACTTGATGTCATGGAAGAAACATGCGAGGTTTAGCGGATTTTCTACGTTAATCATTAGATTATTAGCAAAAATATACGATGACTAACAGCGCTTTTCTACTGTGTGCCGGGTGCCCTGTATATGCATATTTAAAAGCAATATAAAAACCTTATTTATTGAAGCAGTTAACTGTTCCTTTCAAAATGTGTTGATAATATTCTACAAGGTATGCTAACATACTTTTATACATAGCCCGAGCCATATTATTATGTTCGGCAATTTTGATGCACCTCAGCTCATTCATTTCATACATGTTTTCTGATTTTCTTGACATTTCAACATTCATGTTGATACAATGACTGGGTACAAACATTTTATAAAACCATGTTACATTATGTAATCGTTACATTGGAAACATAATTAATATAAGCGGAGCACTGGTAAAAAAAACACATTTAAACCATCATGCCTCCAGATTTTTGCTAATTTTCATGAAAATGTATTAACCCTTTACCTCATATATACGCGAAACAACGCACTTTCCACCCCCCCCCCTTTTTTTAAGGCCTTAAAAAATAGTGAAAAAATGTCCTTTTGGGCTCCAAACACAGGTTTTCGTTTGAGAAATGTTGCTAAAAAAAATGAGCACTTTTTCAGCGCCGCCCCCCATCCTAAAGATACATCAGAGGGTTACCAGAAGGGGGATGTGCCCCCTTCTGTTTGGGGTGTTTGAAGGGGGGGCGGAGTCCCCCTCATCGCCAAGAAAATTTTGGACTTGTGAGAAGCTTAAAATGACCCCAGGTCGATCATAAGGTAACGTGTAACCGACGCTGAAAAGCCTTTGACTCTATCTCGATCCCTTGAGAAGTTGCAGCACTTTGAAATAAATTTTGATGGAAAAAATCGAGGCAAAATAGTGATTTTTGGCAATTTTGAGATGTCCCCTCGTTGCCATGGTAACAGGAAATTTAAGACTGAGCATGTCGTTACAAAGGCAATGGTCCAGTCAACATTTGTGCAAAGTTTGATTAGTATTGAAGCATTTTTCATAGTTTCATAGCAGTTTGAACTTGTAAGAGGAGGCTTTTCAGTGAAAATGGCCATTTTTCACAATATGCTCATGGGGGAAAGGGTTAAATAGAATAATATTGTGAAGTTACCAAAAGAATGCAAATAACACATTATCAATGGCACTTACAACCCATGTAAATTACCATAAAATCAGGTCAAAATATGCAAAAATAGCCCTAACTGCATTAGTAACGCAGTAGAAATATAGTTATAAAAAGCTCTACTGAAAAATGTCATTAATCACACATAACATGTAAATTATTACTAGAATTTTGAATCTTTATACTTTTCCTAAAATCTTAGTACGTTTTTCTCAAAATAACTTTGCTCATCTGGAGGTGTGCAGCTTTAAAAAAAAACGTTTTTTTTTCATTTCATTTCTTTTTTTTATATAATGGACTCATGAAGACAAAAAGTTGTAAAATAAGTTAACTGAACCCCAAAATTGTTGTAAATTTGTTCCAGTCAGTGAGAAAACAGAGTGAACGTTTTTTTATGATTAAGTAAGTGATTTCTATTAAACTAGAAATGTGTCCATAGGACACGGGTGCCCCCACCGCGCCACTGTTCTGTCAATCTTTTTACTAATTCAAGGGAAATAACTCTACAAATACTGGATAAATCCACAAGCAAAACCCCAGGTGCAAATCTAAAATCAGTGTAAGAAATTAGGATTTGAATCCACTAGGCTGGTCGGACTACCAATTTGGAATATTCATTAGCCCGAAAGACATTTCACTAGCACGATTCATTTGTTCAAAACAGTTGTTTATATTGTCTCTGAAAATACAGTAGCCTGGTCGGGCTTGTTACTGTGAAAAGTTGGTAGCCCGAGGAGAAATTTAGTAGTCAGGGGCTATAGGACTACTGCTAATTTCGAACACTGTAAAATATGATGAGCAACCTGCCCATAAGGTTTAATGACTATGTCAAATCCTTTTTGAGAAACTTGCGACACAAGTTGAAAATTGCAAAAAATTTTAAAAGTGAAGGGCAATAACTCTAAAAATACTAAATAAATCCAGACTAAAATACCTGGTGCACAACTGCACATGCTGATCAATATTCCTGTAAAGTTACATGACTGTAGGTCAAATACTTTTGAGTTACGTGCGACACATGTTGAAAATTACCAAATTTTACTAACTCATGGGCAATAAGTCTGAAAATACTAAAAATATCCAGAAGGAAATACCCAGGTGCACAACTACACATGCTGATCAACATTCCTGTAAAGTTTCATGACTCTAGGTGAAATACTTTTTGAGTTACGTGCGACACAAGTTGAAAATTGCAAAATTTTACAAAGTCAAGGGCAATAACTCTGAAAATACTAAAAATATCCAGACGAAAATACCCAGGTGCACAACTACACATGCTGATCAACATTCCTGTAAAGTTTCATGACTCTAGGTCAATTACTTTTTGAGTTACATGCGACACAAATTGAAAATTGCAAAATTTTACTAATTTAAGGGCAATAACTCTAAAAATACTAAAAATATCCAGACGAAAATACCCAGGTGCACAACTACACATGCTGATCAACATTCCTGTAAAGTTTCATGACTCTAGGTCAAATACTTTTTGAGTTACATGCGACACAAGTTGAAAATTGCAAAATTTAACTAAGTCAAGGGCACTAACTCTGAAAATACTAAAAATATCCAGACGAAAATACCCAGGTGCACAACTGCACATGCTGATCAACATTCCTATAAAGTTTCATAACTCTAGGTCAAATACTTTTTGAGTTACATGCGACACAAAAGTGAACGGACGGACGGACGGAAGGACGCAAAATTTGATGTTTATGAGGCAAATGAGCTCATAAACACCACCTGGACCAACGTCCATAAGCAAAATAAGCTCATAAAAACAAAAAAAAACACTTAATTTTAAATTTTATGAGTTTATGTTCTTTATTTAACTATGGAATGAAGCTCATAATAATCAAATGTTGGCTCGGACGGACGGACAGACAGACGGACGGACGGACAAGGGTAAATCTAAATGCCCGCCACTAACGTGGGGGCACAAAAAAAGAAGGCGATTTTAAAATTTGCAATAAACAAAGAAGAAAGTTCTGATATAAAAAGACAGAAATTTCTTAAATTTGTGAAAATACCCCTTATTTTAAGAGAAAAAGTGAAAATTTGGCTGCAAAAAGTGGGAGTCTCCCGCTAAAAGTGGGATAGTTCACACATATGGGAATGGTGGCACAAAATCAAATCACAGAAGAAATATCACTTTAACACTATACATACCTGATGCATTGCTAAGCCCATACATGACAGCACTTTCTGGGGCATGTCTTTAAGATCTGTTTGTAAATCTGGCAAGCTTTCACATACACCTTTAATGAAATATTTCACTGTAATTTACATTGCTGCACAGAGAATCTCTATACATGTTAATTATTGAACATTGATACCGGTATAACAAATGTGGCGACTATCCAGATGTTCAAGATTTCACTGTGTACATTATTTCAGAAATGAGTAGGGCTACAGGCCTTCAACATCAAGCATGAAAATAATCCAGTAAGCCTTTATTAACTTGAAGTAAAGTGCACAAGTCTCCACCCACCCCACCCCCAGTTTTTTAGCATTTGTTTTCCTATTTTCCTTTCTAAAGCTCGTAAATGTCCATAAGAATGCAAAGCAAAACCTTCTTTTATTCCATTGTTGTATTTTTGCCAAAGAAAGCAGTCAGTATATGTAATTTACACAGGACGTTTATTTTAGAGTCAGATGTTTTGAGTTCTCAGTTAGTATATAATACAATATCCTGAAAAGCTATTGAGTATTTGTTTCTCATAAAAGACAATTAAACTAAGGCCACCATATTTTATGACCCAGTTTGTTTACAAAAATATCCCTTAGAGTCAAGGAAAATTTCTTTTTCTAATGTCATGTGGCCTTGTCTCGACCAATCGATACAAAGATTGTTAGTCATAAGAGAATCAGGCATTTTTCTTGACCATTTGACAAAAAAGTACCTTGCCCACTTTGGGAAATTTTGCACCATATAATTCCTTAAGTGAAAAAAATTTTTGGTACCTTTTGAAACCTCCTTCCTACTCTTTTGGCATAGTATTTTGAAATGTACAAAAGAATAATTCTAACATATGCAAGTATCATTCAAAGCATTAAAAGATACATTAAAATTTGACAGTGATATGTACAGAAACATCAGTCTGATACCACACTGGAATGAACTCCAGCAACTTTGTCAGTTTTGATATTGAGAATTTCAGTTCAATTTGGAGAGTTTCTTTTTTAAAGACTGGGAAAATATAAGAATATTTGCCATGGAAATCTAATACTGGTAATCTGACCTGTTGTGACATTGGGAAAAGGCATGCTCAGAATACATATTTTATCATATTTCTTGAATCACTAATCAGTCTTAGAATGTCATGAGAATAATTATTCTATCTGTGAAGGTGTCCACTTGTAACAGTGATTTACTAAAATTCCTTACAAACTGGGGTTCTTATTACTAAACAAGAGCTGTCGGTAGGACAGCAACGCTCGACTATTCTTAGTGCTTGATAGTAAAAAAATGCCTGATACAGTTACCTCCTCCTGTTTACAGGTTGGGGTCATGATGGTGAACAAGTGTGCAAAGTTTCAAAGCCATATGTCAATGGACTTTGAAAATATTTGAACTACTACAAAAACTTTAACGTAAATTCTAAGTCGAAAAAGGGGCATAATTCTGTCAAAATGCTTGATAAAGTTACCTCCTCCTGTTTACAGGTTGGGGTCATGATGTTGAACAAGTGTGCAAAGTTTCAAAGCAATATTTCAATGGACTTTGAAAATATTTGAACTATTACAAAAACTTTAACGTAAATTCCAAGTCAAAAAAGGGGCATAATTCTGTCAAAATGCTTGATAGAGTTACCTCCTCCTGTCTACAGGTTGGGGTCATGATGGTGAACAAGTGTGCAAAGTTTCAAAGCCATATGTCAATGGACTTTGAAAACTATTACAAAAACTTTAACATAAGTGGTTAAGCCGACGCGGACGCTGACACTCGGGTGACTGCAATAGCTCTACTTATTCTTATCGAACAGTCGAGCTAAAAAGTAAATATTTCAAATTACCGTACCTTGATCCGAGATCAATTCTTTGTAATCCACAGTAAAACTTCCCTTTAATTCTATGTCATCCTGTATAAAATTGATAAAGCAAAAACATTCAAATGTATGCAAAAGTCATAAGAATATTTAAACATATCCCCTGAAATTTTTCCTCATCAAATTTATCAAACTATTTCAATAAGTGTTTAACGTGTCAGACTTGCAATCTTAGGATCTCTAGCCGCATAGGTTCAAACCCCGTCTGGGCAAACTGGTGTTTCTTTGAACAAGAAACTTCACACTAACTGCTGGCAGGATGGTTGGTTCCAGGAACAAATTCAAGAGTGTGTATGAAAGCTTATATAAACTTTGTACACATTGAACATTACTAAAATTAATAATAAAATAAGTAATCAAACTAATTCTTTATTTGGAAAATTTAAATTTTATATATATTACTGTTGTTTTCATTATAGACTAAAGACAATATCCAATGCCTTTGTGTTTAAAAATGTGAAATATATCTCAGACAGGAAAATGACCCATACCCATGGAATTGGGAATTTTAGCGATGTTTGGTTAAAAATTGGGGGGAAAAAATGCATGATTGAAATTTTGCAGTGATTAAGTGATTGCAAACAATAACTGTCTACAATCAATGGCATCTTCAAACATTTAAGCACTATTACAGTAAAAAGCCCTTATCTTCAAAGATTTTAGAAATTTTTATTCAATAATTTTTTTGTAACTTTCAATTGGGAATTTTTCCTGTGGATTGGGAAAATAACATACTATTTTCAATTGAGAATATGACCCAATAACGGCTATAAAATAAGCCAAAATAATCCCTATCAGAGTACAATGCCTTAGACATAGAAACGATTTAGCATTTTCTGTCATAAAAAAGAAATTAGAAATAACTATTAAGACTGAAGTTTAGGTTAAGTAATAACTGACATACTGAAAACGGAATAAAATCAAGTAAGTTTGTTTGTTTATTTTTCTGGTATTTTAAGCTGATTATGACCATATCTTAAAACTGGCTTTCCTTGATATTAAATTAACATAAAATACATTTTCAAAGTTTTCCTGAAAATTAAAATAAATCTGGAGGCGTGTTGCTTTAAGTTTTTTGTTTGTTTGTTTTATTTTACGCCTTTTTCCAAAAGTATTTCAGTCATATAGGCGGGTAGTTTCCTAACCATCGTTCCTGGAGAGTTACACCAGTACTAGACTACCTTCCTCCGCGCTAAACTACCAAAGCATCTCCCGGGGATCGAACCAACGCCAGAGAGGTAACTGGATTAGAAGTTATCGACTCTAACCCCTCGACCACAGAGGCGGCTTCGTTGCTTTAAGTGGAAACTCAGCAGAGCCTCTTTACCCCCATAAACAGTTACCCTCGAGCTAGATATTCCGGTCTGTACTGGCAGCTAGAGCAAGATCCTTATAATTATGCTCTCCATACTGAGCTATGTAGTCAGTCAAGAAAATCTAGCAGAACTCACCAAATTAAAAGTCTGTAACCAGCTGAGTAAATATTTCTCAAACACTTGAACCTTCTGGACGGAGGTTGAGTGGTCATTATATACTGGAAGTCAGAGAATGGAATATATTTCACAAAATGAAACTTCAATGCTATCATATTGAAATACAAAACTTTTGGCAACTTTTTTTCAGTGTTACATTTTTATTTGAAATATTAACACAAAAAGCTTAAAATTTCAAATCATACACATCTAGTGACTTAGTATTCACTTTTTCTAAAAAACCTATTCTATCTGTACAGGCTGTGGGGCAACCTGGGCAATTGATTTTGTCACCCCTGGTAAAAATTGGGCAGTTTTAACATGGAAACTAGCAGGAAATACATCAAAATTATCGATACATTCTTTTTTTTTTCATTTCATGATAATACACATGGTAAACAATGGTGTGTCTTTCATGAATAGCAAATACATGCTGTAAAAATGAGTTTGCTTGAAAAAACTTTGGGATATTCAGTGTCTATTCTAGGAGGGAGGATGGGGGGATTCACCCCTATTTTTGAGAATTCCCCCCTATTTTTTCAGAGGCAGGGCGAAAATTTTACATAGAGAAAGAAGGAAAAAAATTAACAAATGTAATAAGTTCTCACTTTTCGATAAAAATCCCCTCTGTTTTTCAAATCCTAGAAAAGACACTGGATATTTGGTAGATTCAATTAGGAATTTTTAACAACAGATTTGTCAATTTGGAAAATGTCAATATTCACTGTCATAATTTAAAAAATTCTTCATATTGCTGCTCACCAAACAATTTCAACTTTTCTCTAATGTTCCACAAAGTCTTGCCATCATTTGCAAGATACAATGTACAAATACTAAATTCCTCCTATTAACTATTTCCCGCTCACCCCAATTTTCCGCAAAAATTGAATTTACATCAAGTTTTTTCTTCTCCTTTCGCAAATATACCAAATAATTTCCCTAAAATTAATGGCAGGGCTGTTTCCTCAACCTGTTAAAAAACGTTGGATTAAAAACATCCAGTACACAGCGTTCTTTTAGCATTTATTATTTTTTCACACAATTTAAGCAAGTTATAATCTTGTAAGTACTTTGTAAATGAATACTATTTTACTTACTATCACCTAGCACGTTTGTGCAGGCCTGTCTGTCCCTAAACTGGTAGAATAACTACCAGAAGGTCACTTATGATGAAATGGAAGTTGTTAGAAGTCTTAAACCAGTGAATTTTTTTCCTGAATTTTACAGCCGAATAAAGGCTGTTTCCCCTAGCCCAAAATAGGTATATTTTCCCCTAAAAATGCTAATATTTTCCCCTAAAAGGCCTAGTGCACATTCTTCACCAGAACCATGACTTAACAGCAGCTAGAAGACAGAATGCTGTCCCTATAGATAGCCTTTGCTATGTACAATGCATGTGTAATTGAATTGAAATTGAAAATTATATATTCCTTATTCTCATTGATTCGTGCCTTCTCATCGATTCGTGACCCAAATAATTGTCTGGTTTAAATACTTCTGCAAGGACATACACCATCCGAAAACTACACAAGTTTTATTAGACACTCTATTTGACAATTCTATCCTATTTAAAATGCGTAATTGAACAGGTGTAAATGACCTTACCCTACAATCAGCTGGTGACCTAATTACTTTTAAATATTCAATATTGATGTTTTAATTTATCAAACACACTTACACTTAAGCCAAAAAAATATTCATTATGCTGTAAGAATTTACTTAAGGCTTTGAAACATATATGATCAGATCGGGCTGAAAATAACCATGCGAACATTTAGTGGTGTGAGCATCTATATTTTGATGACGTCACAGGGTGAATCGGATTTCACGAATCGATGGGTAAGCGTCCAGCTGAGCAAGACAGTCATGGTTGACATGTTCAGTTGCTCTAATCTTTGAGCGGTTGTTTTTAGAAATAATTTAAAGTCTTTGAACTTTTAGATAATGAATTTATTTAACAAATGCACTAATTGAACTGTATGTATGTCTGATATTTGTTGTGCAAGTGCAATTTTTCCAAATAAGAGTCACGAATAGACGAGAGAAAAGCATAAAATGTGTGGGTAAATTCCATAATTTGATTCCCCCTTTTCTGATTTATCCCGCTATATTTTCCCCTTCTGAAAGCCACAGGTTGTTTTGAAAATTGAAAGAAAAAACACTGTAAACTATCTCTCACACATGGACTATCTAATTCTTACCTTCATCTGGAAAGTAGAGTTTCCAGCCATGGTATGGTGACGCTACATCGATTTTTGTCTGAACCATGGTCGGTCTTCTAGGCTGGCTAGACTGGGGATCGGGCATCATTCCTCCACCTCTGTTACCTCTATTTCCACCTTTGACAGCAGAAAATCATCTTCAAATATTATGTTACACACTTGCTGTCTTAACACTTTTTGAAAATCTAACACAATGAGAAAAATGCTAATATTTATAGAGCTTAATTAACTAAAGCTGCATATTAACTTATAAAAAATTTTTACAAGTATTTTATATAGGTCATGGTTTGGCAAAAATAGCACGGTTATAAGGCATTCATAAAAGCTCACTTAAGAGCTCAGATAAGCTAAAAATTGTTAATCAATAAAGCAAACATGTTCAGGTATTATTACCTCTATTTCCATAATTTCTAAAGTACTGTCCTCTGCCTCTCCATCTTCCACGCCAGTTTCCCCTACCACCTCCACCACGCCATCCTTGACCCCTGCCACCTCCTCCTCTACCACCTTGCCAACTTGAACTACTTGATTGGCTCATCTTAGAAAACAACGAACATTCTTCTATCTTGGCACTGCTCTGCTTGAGGCTATAAAATAAATCTTTTGTCAAACAGAGAAAAAAAGACGGGTTTCAAAAATGCATGTGCCACTTTTAACATTTTTTCCTTCATCTGTTGTACTTGTAGCATTCAAGTTTTGGATCAGACCAGTTTAGTTATAAAACCTCATCAGAATGGCACACATTTTTTAAACCTCTTTTAATTTGCAAAACCAATTTTCACAATTAATAATTCTTGTGTTCGATAAAACAATTATTTCAACAGCATTCTACACCATTTGAAGTTACATGTCAAATTGTATACATTTGTATGATTATCAGTACAGTCATTAAAATAGCCTTTTTGTACTCAATTTATTACTGCGAAACATCAATTAAAACAACCTATGCCAGCCATGACACTTAGAAACTACCCATGAACCCATATGACAATTCACGGACACTGTTTTAATATCAGTTTAAAAATGCTATCACAGGCACTTTGCATGCCCTACTCCACCATGAATATTAAACAATAAAAGCATTATTTTGTACAAGAACTAGTCTTAATTTTCTGCTTATATTTGTATGACATGGTTTAGTTTGTAACACATGAGCAAGTTTTGACACAATTTTGTAACCTTTTAAAAAAGTTGAAGATACCAAGCTTCGAAATGTAAACATAAGTGACCTACATGAATACTAAATGTACGTTATTCTGATGAAGACAACAGTGGAAACTAGTAAAATTAAAGAAATCAGGGATAAAAACTAACCATTTAAGCTTGGTGTCCACCTGGGCCACTGACTGTAAAATTTTGGTGGCCCAGTAAATATATCAGTGGACCAACAAATTATGAACAGAAAAAGGGCTAGCACTGGCAAATTTTTTTTAGCCAATTTTTTGGCAACGAAAATTGCGTGCATGTATTTTTTTTTCAAATAAGGCAAAATGGTACAGCATGAGGTATTTAGAAAAACATAAACTGTAATGTCCACTTTTATTTTGGTACCTACATTTTTTATCACATTAACACATCAAACTTATAAAATTTACAGTCGATAATTATAAAAGCTTCCAGCTCAGTAGCTATGACATTTGCCTGGTTAAGTCAGTGGCATGACAGTAACAGCAGAAACACAGTCAGTGGCATGACAGTAACAGCAGAAACACATTCCAATGTGCTGCTTCAGCTTGCTAATGGTTAATGACAAAGATTTGGCTTGAAGACTATCTGTATCTGAAATAATACAGAAGAAACAAGTTTGAAAGTAAGAAGAGTGAAGAAAATGATATTGAAAATTCTAAACTAAAGAAAATTCAGGAATAAAATCACATGTACTTCTGTCATTATAAGTGTACAGGAATCAGTATAAGTTATCTGAAGGCATTTTCTGTTTGTATGTTACTTAACTGAATCTTTCTTTAATATTTCACAGTCATAAGCCATTTATAAATGAATACTTATGCAACAGCTTTAGGGGTTACAAAACTAAAATTTGATTTTAAGTCAAATCAAGGTCAATCTTTTTTTCCAAGGAAATCTCTGTAAAGCCAAATGTCAAATAAATTTCTTGTAAAGGCATAATTAGGTTAGAATAAAATGGCAATCAGCATCCCCGGAAGAAAAAAAAATGAAAAAAAAAACATGAAAAAACAACCATTACTCTTAACTAATATTTTCTTTTGATCTGTAATCAACAACGATATGATTTACTGAATGCAAACTTACCGTCAACAGGTCAAGTTGTCAACTGCAGAACATAATTTGTGGCTATTTCATACCCAAACTTCTGATTTGATTAGCGATAATCTTGAGTAATCTTGGGATGCCGCTACTTATTGTTTCATATTAAATATTTAGACCCGATTTCCAATGCATATTCAACACATTGTTCACTACAATTAGTGTCATATTTATCAGCTGATGTAAACAAACGGCGAGGGTCAGTTTATTAGACTGTGTTACTTTTCATATCGATATTTAATACAGAAGGGGAGGTAAAAATATAAACCAGTCAATGACCCACAAGAAGTAGACTGTGTCGCTGTGTTTTGAGATAAGAAGCGGTAAAACGGAAATTGAAAATGGAAAACCAAATGTGTACTTTTCCATTCTTAAAATAGCAAATGCTAAATTTAGACTGGAGATTCCAAAAGTAATACTTTTTGGAAGTTTGAGCCAATCGTGATTTTCTTGAGCAAATTTAATAATTTTGGAGCCAATTTGCTCCTTTGAATTTTCACATGAGTTGATTTAATGGCAGATATTAATTTAATCTACGGCCGATTTTTTTAGTCGCCGACTGGACGACTATTTTGAAATTTTTGGTGGCCCAATTACAAATTAAGTCGCCGTGGGCGACTGGGCGACCGCTAATTTTCAGCCCTGAGAAATATGTGTTGTTTTGGTGCATTTTAACTGATCTACATGAATTTCAAGCATTTATGTTATCACATGCCATTCCTTTCTGATGTCAATCAGTGTCATGTTTGTTTAAAAAATCATGACGAATTTGTGAGCTCACCAAAACTTTGAATACAACAGTATCGAATGAAAACATATATGACATCACTAGTCCAATATATCAGATGTTAGGGGCTTGTTACAGTTTATGTCAAGTTGCGATGCCCAGAAGCAAAATTATAAAGTGACGTCATATTTGTAGGACTAAAGTTATCACAATCTCTCACACATGCGCATGCAATCTGATTCAAGTTAGTCAAAATAAAATATATGTGTATGTCCCGAATTTCTTTGTTTGCGAGAATTATTTCCAATTAAATGTTCAAATATTCATTTAATTTAAATTATGCCAAGTGCTGAAAAACTGTCATGTTCACATGGTTATTTAATTGGCTGGATGAAATTCTTTGAGAAATGCACGTTTTATTCATGTGACTTACAGAATTATGATTGGATCTCGGCATGAAATGAAAGAGCAAAACAATGCCGTAAACCATTTCATACCTCTCATAAAAGGGAAGTGCATTGTGTTATCTTTATCAAATTATGATAATTTAGCATGCATTGTGTTATCTTTATCAAATTATGATAATTTAGCAGCGTTTTTCAAATGACAAAATAGCAGAAAACATGTTTTTATGCTCAACTTCCCTCAAGACATGTGACCAGGTCATAAATTCATAATAATAATTATATCCAAAAGAATTTTGACCTAGGATTCGCAAATGAAAGATATCTATGGTGTATACAAAGCGGGTGAAGAACCCCCCCCCCCCCCCGTCTGTGTATGCTAGAAAATGCACCTTGTTTTTTTTTGTTTTTTTTCGTAAAATTATTCATAGCTCTTTGACTTAGAAATTATTACACGTACATGTTATATTGACACGACTTTACCTACTGTACGTACAATAAATTAAAATGAATCAACAAAACCCTCCGCGTTTGTTTGTTTTGGTTTTCTTATTTTAAAAGGCTCTAGTTTGACATTTGGCGCCAAATTTCAAATAATGAATCCAATGATAATTAAGCAGCAAAAAGAAAATCTATTAACCAACCCAATTTTAATTAAATAGTTCTAAGAACTTAAAGGCGTAATGAAGTGTACTAAATAAAATCTAAATAATCATACGCAAAATAATAAGTTTTAACTTTTAATTAGAATCTACCACAAAGTTTCAATTAGGCTTTCGTTCACTCTGAAGATTGTATAATAAAAGAATCGAAATGGCTGAAATGTATGGAGGTTATTCGTTGCCAAAAATCAAGCCTTGTTGATCTGAGTTGAACAGTTTGTTAATGAAAAAAATGCAATTGTATTTTTTTGTATGTAAACTCCAATGTTGCATTCTTGGATTGAGTTTGCCGATTTAACATTGTAAACATGCATTTCAACAAAATACATTTTGTTAGACGACGAAACATTAACTGAGAGTAGCAATACCAAGTGTACTCATTGTTCGTGTATACGCCGACAAAACAGAAGTTACATTCTTAGCTTTACATTGTCGAACCATCATGATTCGGATCAGCATAATCCAGCTTTACACGTTTTTCAATAGGAGATAAAATAAGCTCCGCCCATTTTCCCGCCCACTACACATCGTAAATAAACGTATTTATTCGCTCATTTTCGGTATTTACCGTCGGCGACAAGAAGCGGCGTAGTTTCCGTTTACCATACCTTTTAGGTGTTTATTCACCAAACATAATTCACTTGCATGATTGCCATTCTATGCCTTTTTACAATCAACATCAGCGGACTTTAAAGGATTATAGGCATATAAGTTTTAAAACGTTCTAGACACAACACATTTCCTAGAAAAAGAAACTTAAAAAAAAAACACCAGGTTACTTACTGTCTGAGGAAGGAAGTGAAAACTAATGATAAGACTATATTCAACTACAAATAAATTTTACTGATGGTATTCCAATTTGCATGGGAATGAGTAACATTTACAGTTAAGCTGCTACCTTACCACTTTCAAATTTTCAAGTCAACATCTGATAGAGATTTGATACAACTAATTACTAATACAGACCAAATTCTGGCTGTTGTCTTTCCTGGTAGTAGCATTTATTATTATATTAGTAAACTTAATTCTAGCGTATGACTTGACAAGAAAAAACTTTTAACAATAGTAAAATTATAACCAAAGTTGTATGTACCCTTTCATACATAACTTTTTATTTTTTCCATACTGTATAGATATATTTTCCCATTTTTACCATTTTGTTTTTCAATTATAATATTTAAATGAGTCCAAAGGTATGTATGTTGATTATCAATTTATGTATACCTTGTTTATTTTATCTCTTAGAAAGCCATCCCTTCCAAAACTTAATAAATATTCTGTGTAGTATTTCATGTACATAAAAATAGTTCTCTGCTTTTGATCATATAGACAGAGTTGCTAGGATACACTGAATATTTATTTCAACATTAAAATAAAAATGGGACAAATTCACAAGTTTTTGGTTAAACAACGGAATTATCGATAGTTAACTTTGAATTGTTTCGTGGTTATACGAGGTATGTTCAAAATGTTCGTGAATTTTTGTTGTCATTTTTTACTTAGTTAATAAAAACACCCTTAGTGGATATGAATCGAAAGAGTGTCTTTATTTTCAAAAGTAAGCTTTACTTTTATTGTTAACTTTTATTTCCTTTACGAGTTATGTGCACTTTAATAACCATGGCAACGCAACATCGGCGCACGCCGAAATTTTCATATAATGTTTAAATATAAACAAATGTTGAAACAAATTTAATAATTGTTTTATGAAGTTAAATACAAGTCAATCATCTATTAATATTTAAATGACATAAATCTGACTTTTGACGTCGTTTGGACGTTGAATAGCTGAACAAACAAGTTTTGAGCAGCAGTAGACAGACGTGTAAGTTGGAAAGTATAAACCCCGTTTAAAAACTAGAAAATCGCTCTTTCCGAAATTTTTACCAATAAATGTGGTATACTCCTTTATATTTTTATGAGGTGATTAAATTAACGAAAAACAATGATTTGTCGAGCAAGTCTCTTGGTTTCAGGTTGCGCAAGCGATTCAAATACGGCAAATACATGCTCACAGACAGAAAGAGCGACGAATAATTTTTAGGGCAAATTGTTGGGACGTTTGTAACGTCAATTGCAAAAGATCTACAGAAGTTCAGGCATTTTGACAGTTTTGCGAGATGTCCGAGATGTTTAATTTCTGCATCGGGTCTATGCATTCAATTCTGACAAAACAATTTAATTTAATTAAAATGATATTTTATTTCATTCATCAGGATATATGCGTATTTACAATAAATACTTCTAGTTATTATTTGTATTTCCTGTATTTACCCTGGTCCGTTTGATAATTAATGCTAGCCGGTGTTCAGTAGATTTACCGCATAGAATAATTGTCAGTTTATAAAATATTTTCTTTATCATCGATAATCATATTGTTAAAGACGGACGAGGGCGGTTTCAAATTGATACTATCAATCAACAATTGAATTAACTTAATAACACTGTCCGTTTAGTGTTTAAATTACTCAAAAATCCCGATAAAGAGCAAAAAATATGCGGCACTCGGACCTTTATACGGAGAATGGAGCGAATAGATGGCCACTTTATATCTCGGGTCATCATCGCAAACAGAAAAATGTTTTTGGTATATGATCCGCAGATATTGAACACTAAAAAGAGTACTTTCAAAAACAATGACGCTGGTAAAATGTTTCATTTGTATTGCAACATCAAGAACGTCATTTTGTTTCATCATCAGCGTGCGCCGGATTGTGCACCCCTTGTGATTTGTAACTGTCACAGAATTTTTATTTGTAAACATATTGTATTGATTTTGTCACTGTTTATTAAGGACATATTTTCATATATGTTTGTTGTAAAATCATATACGCAAATTAAAAGATGTGAACAGTAGAGCCGCAGTCCACGAACTTTTTGAACAGCCCTCGTACACATGGTCAAAAATATGGGTTTTTCTACAACCCAACATAGTCCTTTAAAGAAAGAAGGCATATGCTTACTGTTCAGTTCTCTTTATTCGTGTTGCCAAAAGTGCCTTCCATGTATCGCATTCTAGTACTATTTTCTGAATGTAAAAAAGATAACTCTATCATTCATATCAATGAACAAACCCTCTCTTTCATATCAATGACAAGTGGTGTGTGTCATTATATATGGGAAACATTCCCTTATGTTAGTTCACCAACTTAAGATTTTGCATATTATTATGCTCATTATCAGTATATACGTTGTTACATTGTTACATTATATCTTAACCAATTTTGCATTACTTGAATATCCTGTACTAGAATACGTTTAAACAAAATTAGAGGATGTTCAAAGTCAACTGTAATGCAGTTGATGTATGTGAAATTTATAACAGTTTCTATATAATTTGAAATATTTTTTGTACCAGCAAGAGTTACCTCTCTTTATATTCTGCTTTCGTGAAAATTGGCCCCGCCTATAAATTTTCGTCTATTTCCGTGATAATCCCATATATGGAAGTTGCAAAATCGTTTACAAATGTTAATCGCGTTAGAATGTAAAAGGAAAGTGTGGTGTTGTAAACCTGAGTGTGTCAAAATGACGCAGTTACATTCTCAACGTCATGATGCACAACATTAAACGTATTGTGTACGTGCTATCGTTTACATTTCTACATGTCGCAAATTTGAAGTTATACATTTATAAATACAGTTTGCAATTAATCTAAGTTGCATATTAACAGCTTTCATTTTATCAAATCGAGATAATTAAGAGGTATGTAACTCTCGGATCGACAATTAGATTTTTACTAATCTGTTTAGTATGACCGAAGTATGCATTGTCAAGTTTCAAAGGCTTGATTTTTGGCAACGAATAGCCTCCATAGAAATGCAAAGTCGGACAGTGTTTTGATTCGTTTTGATGTGGTATTAAACTTTGACAATTGGTGATGTTGATTATAACTCTTTTAAGTAGGTCCCTACCTCTTAAATTCTTATACATAAGGTCCAATGCCCTAACACAAGCTGGTTATTATGGAGAAACCAATCCTAAATGGACTCATACAATCGTAACGCTGCTTCGAGAAAAAAATTGTGTTTTATTTACAGATAGAAGAAATCGCCTGTCCAAAAAGCAACCGCGCGTACATATATATCCCGGTCATTTTGCTTTGCCTAGTGTTCGATGAGGTGGCCCGAGAAAATTGGTGTTTTAAACGAAGATTTATACAATTTATGCACAAAAATAGTAAATAGCTGGTCACTTTTTATACAGATAAAAAATCTTTATGCAACGCAGAAATCTGCCGACCATTTTGCTCGGGTTGAGGCTTTGCCTGTAAATAAAATACCATTTTTCTCGAGCCTACTCTTGCACTAACCCAAGCAAAATGACCGGGAAATAGGCACCATCGTTTTTTGGACCAGCGATTTCTTCTTTCTGTATATAAAGATAATAAATAAAACACCATTTTTCTCGAACCAGCCGTTAAAACACCATTTGTATGAGTCCATTAAGGATTCGTTTCTCCATTAGTTTAGAGGGTCTCCTTCACATGGTCCTTTTCCTATATAAAGGGTAAAATTTCGTTAAAAACCCTACCATATTCTGGAGCTAACCGATAAAACACCATTTGTCTATTTCCGTTGCGGATTCGTTTCGCTATTATTTTGAAGGGTGTTTTTTTTTCCAGCAATATTAGTCTCAAAGCCCTAACCCAAGCTTTATGGCCAGGATATTTCCGAGGTCATGGCCGTTTTTAGGCCCAGCAATTTGTTCTTTCTGTAGATAAAGTGTATAAATTTTCGTAAAAACACCATTTTCTCGTGCCAACCGTTAAAATCCATTTGTCTGATTCCATTGCGAATTTGTTTTTCCATTAGTTTGGAGGGTCTTCTTTACAGAATATGTTTACTATTTATTCTTAATTAATAATAATTCTTAATAATAATATGTTACACTTTAGTTTATGAAATCTAAATATGTCTT